ATATACTGTATCATTTTATTTTGTTCATAATCATGTACACTGATTGCCTAAGTAAGCATATTTATTCCGATGTGTGGCCGGCCAGCAACCTCCAATGCTTTAATTCAGGGTAAGCAATATAAAATACAGCCAATTCCTATTTCCATGAAAATTAGTTAGCTGGAGGCCTTTTTGTCAGTCTAATGACAATGTCCAGGGTAATGGTCATCTCACGTCTACGGGAAATTTTATCAAACAGACTGAAAAAGCTCTTCAAACTGTAAAGTTTTTTTAATGTGCTTTAAAACCCTGCATTTTTAATCTATCGAGTAAGTAATTCAATGGTCCTGTACCTTTAAATCTTCTGCTTACATTGAGGGCAACCAGTAAAAAAAAACGTGCCACTAAAAATGTCTGTGCCCACATTTAGACTGGAGCAATAGCTTTTCGTTTGACTGTCCAATAGTCAGATCAATACTTTGAAAAATAGAAGCAAGTGTTGGCTTTTTTTGTACCAGGTTTAGGATGAGCTAGGTTGGAAAACTCACCTGCAGTATGTGTGATATAATCTAACAAAATGTAAAAGAAAATCATAATTTTTATGCTCTAAAATATAAACACAAGTGAACATTTTAAGTGACGACAATTCTGAGTGAACATAACAGCAACATGTGCGACAATATCTAAAAATGATCTGCAAAATTTGCTGAAAATGATACATATAGCATCAAAATCAGACACCAAATCACATACAAACCCCCACTGCTGGAAAATAGAAAGTTGGAATAAAGCTTAAGTGTTTAACTTTGAATCCAATTTTGTTTCAAGGGGGAAATGGGGGGAAAAAAAAGAAAGAAGAATGCCTTTAGCAAGTTGACCTCCAAATACAGGCCTGCCCTCCATTCCAACATCTAAAAGGGGTCAAATAAATCCCCACGGTCACACACTTAAAAGGTCTCGTTCACACAGTCAGCAAGGTGGTGGTAAATCCAATTGGTCGCCTGCAACAATGTCATCACTGAGGCTAAACCACACTGCTGCACCTGCGATGCTTTGTGTCACGGGCAAAAATAAACAGCATGTAAAGTTTGGCAGGCAAAATAGGACCCTTGCAATGAATGGTATTACAATAGAAAATCCCTATTAGGATTTTTTAAAAATGCATTCAGAAGGTGGCTGTATCAACTCCAGAATGCCAGGCAGCCACTGCTCTACCGCACTCTGAAACGCGATTCACTGCACATTGCTTTTCGGATGGCAATGCCCCTGTGAACGAAGCCAAACACTACTCTACTAACAGTACAAAAATATTCTAGCTTTTGCCACATCTTGGCCTTTAAGTGGGTAAAGTTGGAACGAACATCTACTGGGGTACCTGGAATCGAATCATGACATGAGTGACACGAGATTTCCGCTCTCCATTTTCTAGCTTCTCTTCACTTGTTAGGACAGACAGAACAAAATCTCCCGGTTTGCTCTGACTTTCCCTCACCAAGAAACTTCCAGGCTTTCCTTTTTCCAAGAGCAGCTTCTCAGCCTCTCGTCCAGAAAGGTGCCCATGGTACCACCTAAACAGAACATAAAAAGACTTCAGTAAAGTAACAGCTGTACAAAAGGAAGACGGCCAAAAGTTTAATTTCCTACTAGCTTCATACAGTACAAACACTAACCGATCAACTTATTAGAACATTTACACAATAACCTAATCATCAAACTATGGCAGCGGTGCAATGCACACAGTCATGCAGATACAGGTCAGGAGCTTCAGATACCGTTCACATAAATCCCCAGACTGGGGAAGCAACAGGATCTAGGTGATTTTGACCATGGCATGATTGTTGGTGCTAGACCAGCGTCAGACATGCTGGTTTGAGTACTTCTGTAACTGCTGATATCCTGAGATTTGAATACACTATAGTTTTATAGTTTATTCAGAATCGTATGAAAAAAGAAAAAAAAAAAAAGAAGAAGAGTAAGTTGCCGTTTTGCAGAGGAAAATGCCTTGATGATGAGAGAAGAACTCCAGGCAAATAAAATCCAACCATTGCAGTGGGGCTACACACTGGAAGGCTTAAGTGCTCGTTTTGCCTAGGGAGCTAAAATAACAATGATATACTCACCAAACCATGATCCAGGCTGACTCATAGACTGGTCCCTTCAGCCCTTTTCCTTGTCTCCAGTGATGGAATGTCCAACGGTGTCCTCACATCCTATACAGTGTATAAAACATGATCACTTACAGGACCTTAGACCACTGGAACAGAGAGGGAGCGAGGCTGAAGGGACCAATCTAGGAATCGGCCAGGATTGCAGTTCAGGCGAGTATAGGCTCTCTAGGCAAAATGAGCACATAAGCTTTGCAGTGCGGAGGTAGCCCCACTGCAATGGCTAAGATTTTAATTGCTCGGAGTACTTCTTTAAAAAAAGAATGGCTTATAAAGGCTATGTTAGCTCAGATAACCTCTTTACATCTGTGGTAAGCAGAAAAGCATCTCAGAATACACAACATGTAGAACTAAGAGGCCAATGGGCTTAACATAACTGGGCAAACATTGAAAAAGTGCAGCCTGGTCTGAATGAGCTTGATGTCTGACATGCCAGTCACCAAATGTGAATCCAATAGACCACCTCTTGGATGTGATAGAACGGGAGTGACACAGTAAGAATGTGCAGCTGATAAATTTACAGAAACTGCGTGATGCAATTATGTCAACATGGACCTGGATATCAAAAGGAAGGTTTGTGGAAAGTAGAATCCATGCCAGGGACACAGACTGCAATAAAAACCTGACAGAATCTCTAACCCTTCCTGACTTTATCTCGAAATTAAATAGGTTTTAGCTGGAGTTGGGCTTGGATCAAACTTAGCATTACCAAATGAAATTATGACATGGGAAGGTTGAATTTCAACAGCAGGTCCATTTTAAAGCTAAACCCTGGGTAGATCAAACAGAAAAACACAATTAAAAGGCCACTGAAAATTCTTTGAAATGAAAATAAAATGAATGAGAACATACAACTATTGAATGCTCTTGAATTGTGTTTTTGAAAAGTGTTTTTATTTCAGTTGCTGTCATCCTTTACACAGCAGCACTCAGACTATGAGAGGAAAGGGCAGCACTTGGAACTAACCAGGCTGTGCTGCATGCATGTGCTAACAGGAAACAAGGATGGGGGAGAGAGCAGAGCTGATGACTTATCCACGAGCTGATTCTCCTTTATTAACATATCAGTAGGCTGTGGGTGGCAGAAGTGAGACCATGAAATACCTTAAAGTGACATTAAAGCCTAACCCCCCCCCACACACACACACTGCTTTAATCCTTCATGACCACTCGAGAATCTTCAGACGGGAGCGAGCGGCAGAAACACAGGTAAGTTTTTACCCATTTGGTAACTTTTTTTTATTTTTTCTAATTTTGCATATATCTACTGTTAAAATTCTACTTTAAAGTGTATGTAAGGCAAAACTATATATATATATCCATTTAACCACTGAAAAAAAGAGAAAGTTCTGGCTATGCATGCATTTTAACTCCTAAAGTGGTGGGATGCTCCTGACTGTACTGTCTTTCAGATGTGTATGACTCACAAGAGTGCTTGGATAAATTACAAATCCTTAAGCAGATAAGACAGGTCAGATGTGTGTATTCAAAATGGGTCTTTAGCATTTTCCCTGGAGTTTAGCTTTAAAGGGGTCTAGAACTCAAAAAGTAAAGATTAGCTGTTATATGGAACATAAAAAAGTTAATTGTGCCAGAACGGTACCCTTACAAAATACCTTTTATCTTGAATTCCTGCAGTGTACTCTCTGGTATGTGGGGGGCCTACACCCTCATAGCTGTATATCTGCTGTGTGAGATCTAAGGCATTGATGCTTCTGGCTGCAGGTCTCCCCAGATTTGGAGAGGTCACTACTGTGCTCACTGTTCTCCTTGCTCAAGGTGCCACTAACATGAAAAAGCAAAGCTCTGCCTCCACCAAGATGGTGCCTCCACATTAAGGCACATTGCAGGGAGGCCACAGGCAATACTGGTAACTAGTTGTTTGCCCTCTACCTGCTTCCAGAGTTCAGTTCCTCTTTAAACTGTGTGATGCATAAACAAAAATAAAAGGCAAAAACCTTTCTGCAAACCATAATATTTAAAAGGCTGTTATTTAAGTTTGCCAAAGCACAAGCTGGTATATTGTTTTAAGGGGGAGAGTCTATTGTAACGCAGAATCACACGCCAAGTACAGAAGAATAGGCACCCAGCTAAACTCTCTGCTAGAATTCCACTTGAACATGGCTTGAATGTTCTCTAATCCACGAGACCTCTGGCAGCCAAGAAGCCTTTCCTGGGATTAGTCAGCAGTGCTTCCATTAACGAAAGCGCCTAATGGGGACTGTTACCCGTTATTTTTTATTTCTGTGAAGAGAATGTAGGTAGGAGACTACAGTGGGCACAATTGTATGAGCAAATGGGACTGAACAAAGCACGTCTTTACATAAGCAGCAGAACACACTAAAAACACGAACATCCAAGTCATATTATATTACATTTTAGAGACTTTATTGCACCAGGAGAACCTCATTAAAAACAACTAAAGTAGGAAATAAAAACTTTTACTGAACATAATTAATATCATTATACAGGATTTATAGAACGCCAAACATTTGCGTAGTGCTTTACAAAATAAAGGGAAACATACATGTTTAAGAAAAGAGGGTTAAGATTTTATCAGTGGCATTCTTGTATCGACAGGATCTTATTATTGCTGTAGAAACTCAAATAAAATGGAGGGTCAATCTTAGCAGGAAAACTCTGGAAGGGATAAAATGAGTTCAACGGAGGGCCAAAAAAGAAAAATACTACAGGATTTTCGGGATTAACCACTTCAGGACTGCAATAAGTATATAAATGGCGCTGTCCTGAAATCGCTATACCAAGATCACGGCTGCTGCAGGTACCGATCTGTTCAGCTGGTGCCCGGCTATCACAAACAAGTGCTTGGGCACTGTAGAGCCACCCAATTACTTGTATGCAGCTAAAGCGTGTGCACCCACTGAACCTCCCCTCACCCTTCCCCAATGGCTGTTCCCCGTGCAATCGCGGAAACCAGCACGGTGGTGGTCTTCAGCTTAATAAGAGGGCTATCAGCACACTTCCAATGTCTGATCTCCCCTTCGATCACTGAAATCGTAAGCAATGAGGGTTTTGTCACTTCCGGATTCCGTGTGTCATTTCTCTGGCTGCTGTGGCCAGAGAGAAAGCTGATGAAGCATGATCTGTGTGTCATCAGCTTTTTTGGGGACCATAGGTGACATTAAGGGGCCTCCATAAAGAAGGACCTGTCCCTTCTTCTGTGCTATCAAATAGGGGGCTTGTTAGTTCCCTATGTGATAGCAATAAATGTAAAAATTATTTAAAGCCCCTAAAAACACGTGTCAGGTGCGCCTACGTGCAAAAATATTGATTGTGCCACACGTTACATATCTCCACGGACATCAGAGTGACAGCAGTAATTCCAGGGCCCTCATGGGCTGGTAACACTAAAGGGGTGAGCAGTACAGGCTTTTAATGCGTCACCTATCGGCAATTTTTTTTTTTAACCATTTCACTGGTGCATGCAATATTGAGGCTTGGCATGTATGGTATCTATTTACCTGATGTTAAAAAAAATATTGATTTGATAAACATTTGACATAAATAACATTGCTAATAGAATTCTACAGAGCCTCTGTTTGGGGTTTTAAGCATTTGCTAGCCAACATTTTTTAACATACATGTACAAATCTAAGAAATTGCTCTGGACGCAAAGTGTTTAAAGAGGTCTTTTCACCACATCCTACCCTCACTACTAAACAAGTACAGGCAATCTGCATTAGGTGTACATACAGAAGGCCTTGCCAGCACAGAAGCCCACTGCAGAAATATAAGACTCGGAATATTCATATAAAAGAAAATTCACACTTCTGGGATTGTCAGATTATAAGACTTTTAGGTGCCAGCAGAGCCCCCCATGCCCATGGTCTTTCCATTACTATAGAGTTTCTGGGGAAATGACAAAATCTCATAAGATAAGCACTTAACGCCAATGCTTTTTAAGCATAGTGGTTTGCACCTTTGCCTTGTAGCACAGTGTTCCTCAATCAGTTTCCTAGCTGGGATTCGATCTGCATGGAGTTTCAATGTTCTCCATGTGCTTTCGTGGGTGCCCACCGGGTACCCTGGTTTCCTCCAACACTCCAAAGACATGTTGGTAAGTTAATTGGCTCCCGTCTAAACTGGTCCTAGTACGTGTATACATGTGAGATAGGGACCTTAGATTGTAAGCTCCTTGGAGGCAGGGACTGATGTGAATGTGCAGTATGTAAAGTGCTTTGTAACTTGATGACACTGTAATAAATAAATGTAAACCAAAACAATGAACTAGTTGCTACCTACTGGTCCGTTACCGCATTGAAAGCATTTTGTTATATCTTTTCAATAAATGCTTGTTGATAATGTCAAAAATCTGACCTGTGTCCTCTGCACACTTTGTATGTCATAACAAGGAGAGTATTAGCCCTCCTCCTCCTAGACAG